GAGAAGTCACTATGAGGACCAATTCTGCAGTGCTGTGACTGTAATCTAGGGTTCCTGTGATCACCCTGCCAAAAACCTGGAAGACAGAAATTAAGTGGAAGGAAATAAATTTGTTGGTGACTGGCTTTGAGAAAAATAGAAAAGACTTGTATCTCAAAGATCCCTCTTTGAAGGTGTTGGATGGGCTGAGGGACATTATAGGACACCTCAGGTTACAATGAAAGGGTGGGTAGGGAACTCCAGTATGGGGGCTCTTCCTCTTCAGGGCACACACGTGTACACACGCATGTGGAGCTTGTGTTCCATGATCACTCTCCAGCTATATATTGAGACGAGGTTGCTTGCTGAACCCCACGGAGCTCATGTTTGGGCTCTCCTCTCTCTACCTCCTGCATGCTGGGGGCCACCCTGCCTTCTAAGCATTTATGTGGGTGCTGCTAACATAAACTCCAATACTCAGGTCAAGCTTGCAAGGCAAGAGCTTTACTGCCTAAACCGACTCTCCAGGCCCTAGTGGGTGGATTTTTCAAGTCCAGAAGTTAGAACACCCTGATTCACCTCAACCTTCAATTTGCTAAATAGTCAACGATTCAGAGCTACCACATCTTTCCGGCCTATCTCCATTTCCCTTGCTAAGCTACACTATCCCTTTTCTGGAATTTTATTTGACCAAAGAGCTCTTACCCCTTTCACTGATGTCGATTTTGTATTTAGGAATGTCCTCTAACTTAAGGAGTCACCTTACTCAAGGACCGAGGTGATCTCCAGTCTCCCTGTTTCCAGTCTTGCTGTGAATGAAACAGCAGTTCTCACTGAGTGCGGGACCTGCTATTACCTAATGAGAGAGAGAGAGCTGAAGGCAAGTTGGGACCTGAGGTGTAATCCTATCAGAGAGGTCTGGTTGAGGACAAGTCTGAGGTTTGCTCTGGATTATTTCAACATAGAAAAACTTCAAGTTCGAACATGGACATGGTTACACTATGCCCAAGCAGTGGTAGATTTGGTTTTCTAATTAGAAGTGTGGCTGTCATGGTGGTGCACACCCACTATCCTAGTGAGGCAAAGACAGAAGAAGGGCCTGAAGTTTGAGGCTAGCCTGTTTTATCATGACCCCAGGCCATCGAGGGCTACAAACCGAGTGAGTGGAAGAATGAATGAATAAGATAAAAACTAGTCAGTGCAGTCTGATGGGGGTAAGGCTTGTTGGTGGTGGCCTCATTTCCACAGTCTGATGGGGGCTAGGGTTTGCTGGTGGTGGCCTCATTTCCACAGTCTGATGGGGGCTAGGGTTTGTTGGTGGTGGCCTCATTTCCACAGTCTGATGGGGGCTAGGGTTTGCTGGTGGTGGCCTCATTTCCACAGTTGAGACCTAGTCTTGGAAATACTAATTTGGGCATTCATCTGTATGGATTTCTGAAATATTCTGATACTTTCTGGGAAAATGGCAAGAAGGTTTTATATCAGGAAATCCTTGAAAGCCAGAGATAGGCCCACATTTCTGCAATTTGTAAAGAGGAGAGATCTTACATCTGAAGTAATTTGTTAAAAATAACCTCAGACAAGCTGAAATTTTCTCCTTATGACTTAGTGAATTTTCCTTCAACCAATTGTATATAATGCTTACTGGCTCATTAAATCAATATCTAATTTAATCATTAAACCCCTACAAGCCAAGCAGTATTTTTGTTTATTTTGAAGATGAGAGACTGAGACACTTCAAAGGTAATCTCAAAAAGGAATGATAAGCTACCTGAAAGACCTGGGACACGAATGGGTTGTGGAGATGTTTATAAGATAGCTGAGCAAAATGGGGGAGGAGAAGAAAATAAAGATAAAATGGAAAGGGAAGAAGGGAGAAAGGAACTGTGGATAGAGAAGTGTTCTGAGCCCTAAGACAAATTCCATGAACAAAGGCCCTGGTGAAAAACCCTGAGACCCCACATCAAAGGAACGTAAGTGAGAAGCCCATGTCATCTTGCTCATCCATGTGCATACTCTCATGGTCACTAAACAAAGAGTCCTGTACAGGTAGGCACAGTCAGGTTGAAACAGGTTTAACAAGCATGGCAAAACACTGCACTCCTTTGTCCACAGTCCGTTCTCCTCCTCCGGTTAGCCCTCCTCCTCCTCCTCCTCCTCCTCCTCCTCTGAGCTGCTGTATCTTCAAAGGACCAACCACCCTCTTTCCCTCATTTCTATCATCATTTGGGGCCATACTGAGTCAAACCAACAGGGGCCATAAAAGGAATTGAGATTTACATAAAATCAAACTAGGGTCTGCATTTCAGATTCACTTGGTATGAGACCAGGAAAATTATTTTTTGTTCTCTACACTTTATTTTCTCATCTGCAAATGGAGAAGATTCACCTTATTAACCAGAAAATACTGAGCAGAGCTTAAGAGTTCAGTCTCTGGACTCTGACATCCACTTAAAAACACTGTAATTTTTTATGTATTGTCTGATTTCTGCAAGCCTCATCTTCTTCATCTACAAAAAGAAAGTAATAGCACATGGCTCATAGCATTGTGAGAAAATTGAGTTCTCTCTCTCTCTCTCTCTCTCTCTCTCTCTCTCTCTCTCTCTCTCTCTCTGATAATGCTCTAGAAAGAAAGGTAGAATAAAGTCAACCCTCCAATTCATATCCACCCAAATGCCAGACTGTGGTATTGTTAGAAAATACTTTTTGTGCATACGATGTAAGACATTAAGGTGGAGTCATATTTGATCAAGGTTGAACCTAAATTCAGCAATCAGTGTCTTTGTAAGAAGGTCCCGTGAGAACATGTAGGTGAAGGAGCAGACTAGAGGCTGCACCCATGTGACTCAGTGAAGGAGAAAGTCAGAACAGGACAAAGGAGAATCTGCCTTGAAGATAGAAAAGGGGAGAACCTCAAAGATTCACAAGGGCGATGCCGGGGTGCTTCACAGAGGCAGAGGTGAGAGGGCAGTGCCTGAATAAGAGCTAAGCTATGCATTCCGGACACAGCCCTGCAGAAGACCTGCTAATGAGTTCATGTGTGGGTAGCAAAGGTGTCCAGATTGAAGCCTCAAAATGTGCTTTCCAGTAGACACCATGAGAGCAGGTGTCTGCCCTCTTGTAATGTCAGGAGTGGGTGGCCAGAGACATAGGTGTGAAGTACAGTCACACTGAGTCAGAGAGACTTGGCTGTCCAAATTCTTCAAGAGTTATCCATGACAGATTTAGGGACTGGACACCCCTGGCAACACTCACAAACTGTGGTGATATTTTATTTGTGCTCTAACCAATAAAGCTTGCCTGAGGATCAGAGGAAAAAGCCAACCACTATATTAAACATAGAGGATAGGCAGTGGTAGCACATGCCTTTCTTTAATCCTAGCATTCCAGAGGCAGAAATTCATCCGGATCTCTGTGAGTTCAAGGCCACCCTGGGAACAGAGCCAGGTATGGGGGCACATGCCTTTAATCCCAGCACTAGTTAACCATAGAGGTCTGGAGGTCTGTACAGACAGACAAGAAGTGATAGAGCTGGGCGGAAAGAGGAAGTGATATAACTGGGCAGAGAGAGGAAGTAAGACGGCAGGGCACAGAAAGGTATATAGGCGTGAGTATATAAAAAGTAACTCTCCCTTGGGCTGAGAATTTCCTAGCAGTAAGAACTTGTGATTGGCTTGTTCTATCCCTCTGATCTTTCAGCTTTCACTCCAATATCTGGCTCCAGGTTTTTTTTAATAAGACCTTTTAAGATTCATGTTACAACAAACCTTTTAAGTGTGTAGCCAGAAGCTGTTTATCACCTTATATTTTGAAGACAATATGAAGCTTAAATGGCAGTCTTAAATGAGAGTAGCAGCCAGTGTTCAGTCTAGTGCCTTGCTTGTCTGAAGACAGGATCTCTAACCTTTGAACTTTGAGTCTTCCTGCCTCACCCTCCCAAGCGCTGGCTTTAGAGGTACTCTCTGAGGCACCAACCTTGAGTCCTTACAGTTTTAATCAAGGGAGAGCCTACCACACAAACTATTCTTTTGTTCATTTGTTTTTGTTTTTATGACATCTTTTGTTTGTTTAAATGTGCCTAGGACGCCCTACCAAGACCTCAATTTGGCATTTCCTGAGAAATTTTTCTTGCCAAACTCCAACAGATGTACTCAACAAACAGCAAATCAAGCAAGCAGTGGGAAGTGGGAAGTAACTCTGACATAGGTTTACCTCCTCTCTGCAGCTGGCAGGAGGCAGAGGACAGAGAAGCCGTTCAACTGGCTCTTTTTAGGAATGACCTCGTTAATGTTTCCAGACTATGATTCGGCGTGGAGAAATGGACCTCGGTAAAGGCAGGAGTCAGAGCAGCTCCTGCACTCGACACTGTTGTTTGAATCATGGGATGCCTTCAGTCAGGTTAGTCCTGGGAAGTTAGTCCTGGAAAGTCAGGCACACAGTCTAAGAGGCATGAGTTGGGATTCTGGCTGACGTTAGCAAGTTAGTGACTTCTGTCTCCTGCTTGATGTAAAGCGTCTTTAAAGGGAATTCCCTACGGGGTCCAGTGGGAATAAGATGAGGTTGTAAAAGGGGCTCAGGAAGACACTGTGCTGGCGCAGAGTGACAGCTGGGTACTTTATCCTATAATCCCTGAAGCACACAGTTCAGCCCTACCTTCAGTAAGTACTTTATGACAGGTAGAAAGCCATTTTCCCACCAGGAACAGGATACTCTCAACCCAGAATGGTTGTGTATTTTAATCCCACGTAGCAAAGCTTGCAGAGGCTGGTGACCAGAGCCATGGCCTAGGGCCCCAGCGTGGCCAGGGGGTGGGGCTGCCTGTTGTTCTGCTTTCAGCCAGTAAGATGCCTGCCGGTGTGAAGCCACCTCCTCTTCCCGAGCACACGAATCCAGAAAGAAACAGTGGTGTAGCTCATCCCCTGCTTTCTTTTTAGGCAAAATAGTCCCCCAGACAGTATCCTAGTCAAGTTCCTTTAGGACTTTCCCTGAGAATGGGACTACCTGTGCAGTCCTAGACTTACCTGTGTGAGACGTCCACTTCTTGTTCAATAGCCAATACGCCAATACCCACATGCAGTCATAGAGGGTGGAGAGGACTTTCAGAAAACACCCCGCTGGTGGGCAGTGTGAGCAGGACCATATTCCATGCATAGTTCTTTTAAAGGAGAAAATGGAGATGATAGAATACATAAACACTTTTAATATTTGCATTATCATGTTCTAAAAATTAATAGTTTACTAAAAACTATGAATCCTATTTTCCTTCATCTTTGTGCTCTCTAAAGCCACTGCCCCCTCCCTAAGGCCACCACCCCGCCTGCTCTGGCCCTTGTCCAGAGATCTGGTAATAAACTACCAATTTCTCAATGACTCAACCTAAAGACACATTTATTTCCAGCTAACACTAACCATGACAGAAATCATTACATTTCTACAATGGTTCCGAAACTTGGTTTGGTTCGCTTTGATGGTGGATTAAGGATCTTATTATTAATCAAATTCACCCAGGGGCTTTCCACTAGAGCTAACACGAGCATGGGTTCTGGAGTAGTTATGGCTACACAGAAACCTCGGCTTGACACAGCACTGGGGTTGGGTCCGAACTGTAATCATCTAAGTTCTGTGATTCTGGCTGCAAACTCTTCACCTATAAAATAAGGCTACAGTAGTCGCAGGCCCCTGTGATGGCTGTGGTAGGTAAAGGGAATACATGTATACAAACTCTTCAGTCTAGATCATAGAAATTGTTTAAATAACATTACCATTTATGATAATGTTATGCCAAGGAGCTTGAAGGAAGAACTCAGAGGATAAAATGTTTGCTGAGCAAGCATAAGGTGGCCCCAGCACCTACATAAACATCTAAGCATGATAGTCTGTGCTTATAATATCAGTGCCGAGGAGATAGACAGGTGGATCCCTGGGGCTCACTGGTATGCCAAGCTAGCCAAATTGGTGAGCCCCAAGCCAGTGAGAGATCCTATCTCAAAGAAAAAAGAAGATAAAGTGGATAGTGCCAAAGAAACAACACACAGTCAACCTCTGGTTTCTATATGCATGAGTGTATGCATGGGTACACACACCCATACACACACACACACACACACACACACACACACACACACACACACACATGAGCATGAACACAATATTGTTGTGCCAAGAGGCAGAAAATGATCCCCACCCAGCTGACCACACATGGACAGTTTGGTTGTGAAATCTGTCTTCACAGTGCAGTGTATCGGGCCATAGTAGAGACATTGAAAGTTCATATGAGCCAAGCATAAGAAGGGCACAGGCTGGCTGCGTACAGAGTGGTCAGAGACATTTACCTAGGAAGTGAGTCTCTGCTGGAGGCTAGTGCGGCAGTCACTCTTTGATGCCCCAGATGTAGACTTGGCCTTTACAGTCCACAGAGCCTGGGCCAGGCCTTAGGCCAAGCACTGGAACCACCCTGGGCAGAGGGACCATGGCTCTGCCTTGTAACTCTTCTCCGGTCCATGGACAGGAAAGGATCAATCATCTCAACTTTCAAAGGAAGCAAATAGTTGGAATCAATAAACTGACATGTATCACCAAGGCAGGGATATCAGTCATAGATTGGTAGTGGGATAGTGTCTTCAACTTGCTACCAAGTCCCGCCTCCAGGTGTGAATAGCCCATCTTCCCTGGGAAATGCTCCGTGTACTGACTTCTGCATGTGGTCTGTAGTATCAGAACTTTCAGAGCTGCTGCAGCAGCCCAGGTTCTATGTGAGTCGGACATGCGGTATTTGTCACTGCTTGGAATTTCCCTGTGTCCCATGTCTCTCCCCTCTGCAGTCAGTTCTACAGCTAGAAGAATCTGACTCCACCTCACTGTTACACCCTTTGTCCTGTTATCCATCCATCCATCCATCCATCCATCCATCCATCCATCCACCCATCCACTCACTCATTCAACTATCACAGAAAGTGAATTCCACTCATATATCTGTAGAAGCTCTTTAAAAAAAAAAAAAAAAAAAAAGTCCCTAAGGACCTCTTGTTATACCCAGGACTGAAAATTGTCCTTCCCAGGGTTTTCATTCAGGAGTAATAGCATGAGTCAACGGCCAGCTCAGATTTCTTTAGCACTTCTGGGTCTGTAAGGCATTTTGGGGAGTACTAATTGTTCATTCTGCTCATCCTGAGCTGCAGCATGTGGCCCTTCACAGCTCAACCTCAACGAAGATGAAACCAAACAGCATGGAGGAAAATTCCAAGAAAAGGCTATCCATGTTCCAAACGTCTGTCCACTCGTGAAGGCCATCAACTCTGGTGACCCAGTAGCTTAATGGGAGACCTGTACACAAGCCTTCGTTGACGACTTCATCTCTGAGAGGTGTGTTATTTATGGAACTGAATGGCCACAGCAGGATCTGCCTCTGAAAGTTCCCGCTTGCCTCCTCTCTGCCCTAGTCTAGGACAGCGGTGTCTGTCAAACTATAGCCCCTTGCCGCCACCTAGTGGCACATTTGACACTTGCAGCCGTGAAGCTAAGGTAGGCAACATCTTTGAAAGCAGCTATTGTTTCTAAGAGGCGTGATTGGCAGCGCCCCTTTCCTCTCTGTTCTCTAGTTGCACGGTTCATGCTTGTGTGTATGTGCACTTCTGTGTGTGCAAGGGTGGAGGGGTGCGTTGCACAGGGAGGTGTGTTCATACGTGTTGAGGCCAGGTCAATGTTGAGTATCTTCCTCAATCACTCTCCACTTTCATTTTTTAAAATCAATTATAAAGGTTACTAGACACAGAAAAAAACAAACAACAACAACAACAAAAAAGACTCCTCTAAGTCAGGCCTTACTAACTGTCCTGCAAAATCAGGGACAGAAACTCACTCTACTTTCGGTCCAGGCTACGCTTTCCCCTTCTCCAGATGGCAGATTCACACAGCCATAATCTGTAGCGAATCTACAAATGTGTGTACTTGCTCCCAATATGCAGTCTAAAGACAGAGGGGACAACCAGAAGACTCGTGGCCAATACCTGTACAGTCACCACCCCCGGTCCTCGCCTAGGCTGTGCAGTCTGGGGTCGGACCTGCTATGCTGGGTGGTAGGTTGCAGCAGACATGGAAGAATACAGTGTGAAAGGTCACCGCTTTGTTTCTGACACAAGGGCTCCCAGAAACCAGAGCTCACAAACTGTCTAGTTGTCTGGACAGCAAGCCCTGGATCCTCCCTTCTCCTACAGCCAGGACTGGGCTTACAGGCAGGCTTTTCAGCACCTGGCTTTTTATATCTGTGCTGGGGACCCGAACTCATGTCTTCATGCTTGTGTGACAAGCCCTCTCCCCAACCCTCGTTAGCCACATCTTACATGAGTAAGAACAGATGATGGCTTTAACTCCTCAGTGTCTGTGAAGTGTCTTGTATGGATGCACAAATGGAAGAGAAAGATGATCAACTCTTCTCCCAGTGATAGACAAGCTGGACTGGAGAGCTGACGATACATCCCCTCCCTTTCCCAGGCATGGAGGGTCCCAGCCCAGAGCAAGGCCACCCATTCTTCCTTTTCCCACTGGTGCTCTACAGACAAGTGTGACTCCTTTTGCTCAGGTGAGAAACATGACCACACAGCCAGTCTGGATTTTGAGAGGCCCTCAGGGTCCCCAGGCTGGCAATTCAGCGGAGCCCTGGCTCTAGCACAGGCTAGGTCCTCAGTGTCTGACCCTGGAGGAGCTGCTCATTCGTTCTGGGTTTCAGTCAGGAACACTAGAGAGAAATTCAAAGATTATCCCTTTTATGTTCATATGCATGCTTGCACTCATGCACAACACACACACACACACACACACACACACACACACACACACACACACACACACACACTTTTGTTAAGAGGTCCATGATCCTCCAGTCATCTTGAAGAGTTTTTCCTGGAACCTGTGGATTGTGAGCTTATTTGGAAAATGGTGTTTACAGATGTAGTTAAAAATCTTTCGATCAGATGATCCAGTCTTTCCAGCTAAACCCAAAAATCCAACGACAAGTATCCTAGTAAGACCCACAAAGGAGATGCCCATGGGGAGAGAGGAGAGGCCTCACAGAAACAATCAGTGAAGAGCAACAGGGGAGCAGTGCCATCAGCTGAGCAAGCCAAGGGACACCCAGGTGAAACGCAGGCCAGGCTCTGCTCAGGCCTGTGGAGGAAGTGTGGGCCCGTGGGTGCTGATGGGACCTGTAGCTTGTAGAACACTCAGACAATACATTTCTGTGGGCTTAAGTTACTAACTTGAAAAGAGTTGTTAAGGAGCCACAGAAAACAAAAACACACCTATTTTTTTCCATAGCTGTTTCTGACTTATTGACATGTCTACTTTAAAATTTTAAGGGATATAGCTGATGGAGTACTTGCCTAGCGTGTGCAAGGTCCAGTATGCAAGCTCCAGAACGTCTAAGATGCTGTGCTTGCTGCAGACACAGCTCAGGTGTAGAGCACTTTCCCAGCTTGTGCCAGGACCTGTGTTTGGTCCTAAGATTCACAAACAAAACAGAACAGAAGACAACGGGATACAGCCAAACAGACAGTGCTTACAGTAAGTGACTAGAAAATGATCTAAACTTGGGGAGGGGGATAAAAAGAGACAGAGAGCTTTGCTTTCTGTGTGCGCAAAATCTTGCACATGCACTTTTAGCCAAGTGTTGTGACACACACTTGTAACCAAAGCAAGCAGGAGGTTCATCAAAAGTTTGAGGCCAGTCTGATCTATAGCAAGGTTCATGCCAGCCAAGGCTATATAATGAGACTCTGTCTTAAAGAAAAACAGATGATCTCAACACATGCACGCATGCACGCACGCACGCACGCACGCACGCACAGTAAATAGATGGCTTAGCAGTTACTGAGTATGCTTGCCACCAAGCCTGAGGATCTGAGTTTGATCCCTGGGACCCACCTGGGAGAAAGAAAGAACTGACTCCTTCAGTTGTTTTCTGGGCACACACACACACACACACACACACACACACACACTTCCACATATCAAATAATCAAATAAATGTAGTCAACTAAAATACTAATTTAAAAAAGGGATATTCCAAATATAAGAACTTCCACAAAAGTGGTTTTGTGGCAAAGTCCATGAGAAAAACATGTTTCCCTTTTCCCTATGGATCGTGTTTTGTTTGGCTTATTCTCAATGTCCCAGCTTGGCTCTCTGCACCCCTCCCCCACTGCTTTCTCTCTCCCCTCCCAGAGAATCATTTCCTTGAATTTTATGTTTTTCTCAGTAGATTCACTATACATGTATATGTTCGCAAATAATTTTACAGATTATTGTAGTTCTTTTTAAATTCCCATAAGCTCTTCACCTCATTTTCCACATAATTTTTCTCAAATGCATTCCTGTTAAACATGTCATTGATGTAGTTTTATTGTGCCTTATAGCTATGTATCCTGTGATAGGTTTGCCTGTTAGGAGAAGATTGTGTCTGTCAATTTTCTTATATAAATGGCTGCATATGAGTGTAGACATGGGAACTAAGGTGGAGTTTCTGGGCTTTCAACTACATCTGGAACATCAGCTTGGGTTTAGAAGTGACTGCAGCAGTTTACAGTTCTGGTAAGAGTAGATGTGATTCTCATGATTTACATAGAAATCCAGAATTCTTAGTGCTATGAGATAGTTTCAGTTTGCCTAGTGCTAGTCACCGATGAACACTTGTTTATTATGCATTTCCATAATTTTGCTTCTGTAAAACTCCTATTCATAACTTTTATCTGTTTTCCTATTGTAACAGGGTACCAGACCTCAGTGGGGTGCCAGACCTTAGCACAGCTGATTCCATGATGAAAGTATCATTCAGGCTGTAAAACTCAGCACATAGACAGCACCATTTGCCAAAACTAAAACAGCCTGGGAGAGATGTTCTATGCTGTTAATGAAGCTGTTTAACTGGAGGCCCAAGAGCAATGGCAGGCACAAGGTTCTGGAACTCTGATTTCCCCAGAATGCTATTCAGTTGCTAAGCTCTGTGTTGTTGCCTAAGAACCAGGGAGGCGCCCCAGCTCTTGGAAGGGAGAGCGGGAGAAACTTGGGGGACACAGCCGTGCTCTTTGGAAGGCACTAGACAGTCGGCCGTTGCCACCAGTAAAATCTCCTTAGCTTAAGTCCTGAGATTTAAGGAAATAACATATTCAGTCTAGACTCAATATGAGGTTGGAAGGGCATCAACAGACCTGATTTATCTGCTTTAAAAACTGTCCTCAGGTATAATTTCTATTTATCATTAGAATAATTCACTAACGTTTTAGGTACGTTTTACTTACAAACTTCAAATATACTTTTTAAGGTATACAAAAACCAAGTAAGTCATTTTGAGGAAAAGGATGTTATCTTTTAAAGTTAGCCACTTATTTTGAAGGAGATCATACTAATAACACTGCACTAGGCATAGACTAGAGACATTTATTCTGTGGAAAAATCACTAGCACATTTAATGGCAATGACTGAGTTTATACCATGTAGCGGGTGTGTGCACCCAGCAGGCAAACAAAAATGAAAAACCAGGCTAGACGAAGGCATGTCTGATGATGACATCCTATTGGAAAAAGCAGGGAAGAAGTGAATGTTTACAACAGAAATCAGGGAGGGGTGGATGCTACGAAGAGTGATTTAAAGAAGAAAAAGAGAAAGTGACAGAGGCTGGGTGATGGCGGGAGCTACTACAAGGAGGGGGTTAGGACACCTTTTGGAGAAAGTGTGTGCCCAGAGAAATTAATCCAGTAAGGGAAGAAGCCATGGGGCAGCTGTGCTGTGTGTTCTGGGCTAGCAGCGTGGGAGTGTAGTGTGCATGCCCTGAGTGATATCTGTACAAGATGGCTGCCTCGAGTAACTTTCATCTGCTCGTGGCTCCTTGAAAGCCTGCGTTTCGTGGATGTACTATTTTGAACTTAAGGTTATCAATATTTTATGCAAATTTGCAGGACATTTTTCTGAGTAACATTAACTGTTCTTTGCCATCCACCTCTTTGGAGGATTGTATTTCCTTTATTCCAAATAAGTTCAATAATTTACTAATACATAGCTAGATTTGAGAGACTACAAGAAAGGAAACTTTCTTTTCCTAAGTAATTTTTGAAATTTTTTTATTTATTTATGTAATGTATAAGAGTTTTGCCCGAATTTAGGGGTATGTATCACATTCGTACAGCACTGTGGAAGCCAGATGGCGTTAGATAACAAGAGGTTGGAGTTATAGACAGTTTTGAGCTGCCAAATGTGGGTCCTGGGAATTGAGTCTGTGTCCTCAACAAGAGCAGCAAGTGCTCTTAATCTCTGAGCCATCTCTACAGCTATAGCTTTTGGAATGATGAACACAAAGTGCAATTCAATTCCTCTCACATACTCTTCACATTTCCTTTTTAAAGTGTCAGCAGCATGAGCATGACAAAGTAGACATAGACAGAGCTCAGCAATCTTCTCTCAGGAGACCTCTTGAGTATTAGTTGTGGTTTCTATTGCTGTGAAGAGACACCATGACCATGGCAAATCTTACAGAGGAAAACATTTAATTGGTTTACAATTCAGAGGTTCTGTCAGTTATCATCACAGTGGGACATGGCAGGCGTGCGGCCAGACACAGTGTTGGAGAATGATCTGAGAGTTCTACATCTTGCAAAGACAACAGGAAGTGGTCTAAGACGCTAGGTGTGGCTGGAGCATGTATGAGACCTCAAAGCCCGCCCCCACAGTGACACACTTCCTCCAACAAGACCACACCCACTCTAACAAAGCCTCACCTCCTAATAGTGCCATTCCCTTTGGGGGCCATTTTCTTTTAAACCTCCATATCCACTAAGTGAGGAAGTCTTAGGTAGATTTTATAATCTATAAATAGTAAGGCAAGAGTCAGGATTTTTAATAAAAATAGCTAAAATTCTTATGTTTTTAAATTATCTTATTTTTATAGAAATTATTTAAAAGGAGGTTAAGTTCTCTATTGCTTGTGCTGACTTGATTGAACTGCCTGGAGCACCCATGGGTGCTGCATTTCCAAGCCTCAGACATTGACTCTGCAGTTGAGTTGGTAGTTTTCAGCATTTTGATTTGAGATATGTGCTCCTGAGATGGGAACACGTCTTCTGTATGACCATCTGACATTTAAAAACATGGTGGGGAAAATAGACTGGGAATTGTCTTCTAGAGCATGCAGCAAATACTTATGAAGTTCTGGAAATAAGTGCGTGGCTTCTGCTGACCTGCCGTTATACATTACAAGATTCTATTTGTTAAACTAACTCATGGCTTATGTGTAGAAGTGGTCGTTACTTCACTTATGGAACTCATCTCTGATACACATCAGTCAATTTAGTACTAACAAATATCTCTAATATTGGGTTCAGCAAAAAAGGTTTAGTCTCTTTATTGGAAATAAATGACATTTCTGATCCTCCAGTAAACATATTTATTCAATAAGTAAACAGCTTATTTCTTGATCTCCACTATATGCACATGGCACACATACATACATGCAAGAAAAACACCCTTACACATAAAATAATAAATTTTAAAAAATTTAAGTATGCTCTTTTTTTATATTAATCTTGTCTTTTAAATGTATGGCGTTATGAGGATAAACAATACTTTCATTTCTCCTGAGTTTATAATTCTTTTTTGTTTTGTTTTGTTTTTTTTTTTTGTTTTTTCAATACAGGGTTTCTTTGTGTAGCTTTGCGCCTTTCCTGGAACTCACTTTGGTAGACCAGGCTGGCCTCGAACTCACAGAGATCCACCTGCCTCTGCCTCCCGAATGCTGGGATTAAAGGCGTGCGCCACCACCGCCCGGCTGAGTTTGTAATTCTTAAGAAGTTATCAAAGTTATCAATTTGTTATCTACCATAATGTGAAACTTTGAAAGGAAAAGTGTTTCAAACCAATTCACAGACTCTGGGAAGGGATTTAAAAAACAGCAGACAATGAGTGGTCACTAGTGCTGAAGTCAGCATGAGCATGAGGTAGAAGAGAAAAGTGTGGGCCATTCGTAGGGTAAATGAGCATGGTTTAGCTTTTCCTCTAGTTTAAGCTGGTTTGATTTTTTTTTCATCAGTTCACTTGCTAAAATGATCTAAAGTACAACTTTAGTTTATTACTCAATCAACTGCGTTTCTAAAAATGTAAATTTAAATTGGACTTCAAAGAACACTGTTCTAATCCGTTTAAGTTGACATAACAAAATACCATAGGCAGGGAAAGTTATAAGCAACAGAAAATAGTTTTCTAATGCTTCTAGAGGCTAAAAAAAATCTACCATGAAAGTATCAGCACATTCATGGGCTGGTGAGAGCCAACTCCTCGGCTTATGGGCCACATCTCAGCACATCCTCACATGATAAGGTGGCTTCTGGGACTTTTTTTATAGGGCACTAATCTTATTCTTTAAGAATTCCACCTTCTTGACCTAAATGCCTTCTGAAGGTTCCATCTCCTAATATTATCATGTTGATGACTAGACATCAACCGAATAATTTTGTGAGGCACAAAAGTGCCATGTATAGCTTAGATTTTGCAAAATTTTAGTGATATATCTGAACAAAATATTTATATGCTGTCTTCACTCTCTAAACATTCATTACACATTAAATGACATCTGGTCAAACTTTTTTAAACCAAGCATACAACATTTCTTTAGAATGAGTGGATGAATCCCAGATCTTCCCAAGGTTCTTCTGAAGAGAAGAAAGGCAGCTGCATCACCCTCTGTTTACCTGTGATACCCTAACCTCCTGGATCAGGTATTCAGACTCACCTAAGAGGACTCATGTGGGACAGACGCATAAAGGGGAAAAACTGAATATTCTAGCTGATATTTAAATCAGCTCCAGCAGATTATAGAAGAGCAAATGAGAACCTAGGAGATCATTCAATTAGTCTGTGTTGATCCCAATTTTCATTCCAGGTTATTGCCCTTCCTGTTACCCAGCTTGTATTCCTCTTCTGTCTTGTAAATTAAACATGAACTTATTTGGCTTGTTTGAAGCAAAGGACCCACACAGGAAGACTAAGTTGTGGAATATTATTTTAACTAGGCAAAGATGTGTCACCTTTGTTTATGCTGTGGAATATTATTCTAACTGTGTAAAGGTGTGTTACATTTGTTCCTGCTGCATTTGTTTAATGATATAAAGATGTGTTACATTTGTTTATGCTGCCTTTGTTAGTGACGTAAAGATGCTTTACATTTGTTTCACCTTGTCTGCCTAAGACGCCTGATTGGTCTAATAAAAGCTGAACAGCCAATAGCTAGGCAGGAGAGGGACAGGTGGGGCTAGTTGGCAGAGAGAATAAGTAGGAGGAGAAATCTAGGAGAGAAGAATGAGAGAAGAGAATGAGGGAGAAAGAGAGGGACATGTTTGGGGCAAGAAGCCAGGCACCTTCCAGCCAATCAGACATGGAGACAGCAGGAAAGTAAGATATATAGAAATGAAGAAAGGTTAAAAAGCCTCAAGGAAAAATGTAGGTGAAGAGAAACAGGTTAAGTTATAAGAACTAGTAGGACAAGCATAAGATAAGACTGAGCATTCATTCTAATAAGAAGTCTCTGTGTCATGATTTGGGAGCTGGTTGGTGGCTTAAAAGAAAGCCTGCTACACTAAGTGTAAAGTTTGATTATAGGCCTGGTGTGGTAGACATTATCCCAACACTCAGAGGGCTCAGGAGAATTGTGAGTTCCAGGCCAGCCTGAGCTAATAGTGAGGCTCTGACTCAAAAATCTATCAGTAAAATAATGTAGTTTGACGATACAAAGAGATTAGAATTAACTCTCCTTGTGATAGTCCTAAAGAGTAATAACAGAATATACCATTTGTGCATCTACTTCCACCAGCCACTGGATGAGAGTTCTACCATGACAGTTAGGGTGTTCGGCCATCTGATCACCAGAATAGGTCAGCTCAGGCACTCTCTCAAC